CGACAGTCAGAGCCCTCAAGTTCCACCGCGCCAAGCTCCAAAAACCGAAGGATCTGAGCCCTCGACGCCAAAATCCTAAACCCTAAACCCTAAACCAAAACCCTAAACCCTAAACCCTCGACGCCAAAATCCCAGGCTCCGAGCCCTCAAACTCCGAATCCCCAGACTCTCAAACCCAAACCTCTCAAACCTTCAGAACCCCCAGTGCAGAATCCGTGTAGAAGCCGAAAGAACCTTGAGGGAACCTGGTCGTAGAACTTTCAGAACCCTAAAGCACCTCCGAGAACCTGAAAGAACCTCAAAGAACTTTAAAGAACCTTAAGGAGCCATAAAGGACCTCAAACCTAAACCCTAAACCCTAAACCCTAAAGAATCTGAAAGAAGCTTCATGCCACCGCCTCCGCAGCTGGTGCTTCGGGAGCAGGCTCTGCAGCTGCTGCCGGGGCAGGCCCCGGTCCCTTCCTCGGCGGGTGGGCTTTAGGGCTTAGGGTCTTGAGGGCTTAGGGCTTAGGGCTGTAAGGGTTTAGAGCTTTAAGGGTTTGTACGTTTAGGGTTCAGGGCTTTGAGGGTTTAGGGCTTAGGGCTGTGCGGGTTTAGAGCTTTAAGGGTTTGTACGTTTAGGGTTTAGGGCTTTGAAGGTTTGGGGCTTATGGGGCTTAGGGCTTTGAAGGGGCTCAGGCTTTTCGGCTTCTGAGACTGGATTTAAGGTTTAGGGTTTAGGGTTTAGGTCTTCGGCTTCTGGGATTACGGTTCGAGGTATACCTTAAGAACCCAAAACGCTTGTTTGTAGGTTCTTATTATAAACCCTAATATGGGATTTATAGGGACCCTACAAAAAGTAGGTTTTGGGTTCTTACACCCTAAACCCTAAACCCTAAACCCTAAACCCTAAACCCTAAACTGTAAGGTATATAGGGCAGAGGGTTCCTTTTGGAGTTTCTAGAAGTTTGGCACTTCCGGGCTCGGGGGACTCTAGGGCTCGGCTATTTTAGGATGTTTAGGGTTGTAGGGCTAGGGTTTAGGGTTTAGGGTTTAGGGTTTAGGGTTTAGGGTTTAGGGTTTAGGGTGTAGGGCTTTAGGGTTTATTGTGTACAGTTTAGGGTTTAGGGCTTTAGGGTTTAAGGGTTTAGGGTTTAGAGGTTGAGGGTTTAGGGGCTTAGGGGCTGAGGTTTAGGGCGGTTTTGGAGAGTTTTAGGCTTCAGATCGTTCACTGAAGTACTGCGGCGCTCAAGCCCACTAGGGAGGTCTCTGTTTTTTAACGCAACGAAAGCCCTGCTTCCCAAAACCCCTAGACTCTAAACCTCTAAACCCTAAACCCTTAAACCCTAAAGCCCTAAACCCTAAACTGTACACAATAAACCCTAAAGCCCTAAACCCTAAACCCTAAACCCTAAACCCTAAACCCTAAACCCTAAACCCTTAAACCCTAAACCCCGAAACCCTCAACTGCACGTAAACCCCTAAACCCCTAAAGCCCTAAACCCTAAAATGGAATTCCTTAAACGAGAGATCCAAGAGGCACTGCCCTTCGCCCGTCGAGGGGATACCCAGAGTCCCATACCCAGGATAGGGTTTGAGGTATTTTATACCATATTTAGAGAAACGATTCGTAATAAGTATTATTTTCATAGTCATACCAATAGTCATAAATAATAAGAATAGCAATAACAATATTAGTAAGGAGGAAACCACTCAAGCAGTATTGGTAATGACATAGGCTTCTCTTTTAGGCGGTAAGTAAGGCCAGAGTTCGTAGGGGCTCCCTGTATAATCGGCCCGCAAACTCCAACCCCGAACCCTAAACCTTAAAGCGCCTTTCACACCAAACCCTAAACATTTTGGGCTCCAAACCTTCTGAATTTAGCCGTCATGCTTGCCGCAGCTTCGGGAAAGCTCCTGAAAAAGACCCCAGCAAGACCTTGCATCCCCGGAACCCCAGACCCTGCATCCCTAGACCCTAAAACCCTAAAACCCTAAACCATATACCCGAAAACCCTAAACCCTAAAACCTCAGCCCTAAAACTCTAAACCCTAAAACCCTACTAAACCCTAAAACCCTAAACCCTAAAACCCTAAACACCTAAAACCCGAAAGGCTCCAAACTCCAAACCCGAACCTGGGGCAAGCATATACCCTAAAACCCTAAACCCTAAAGCCCGAAACCCTAAAACCCAAAACCCTAAAACCCTAAATCCTAAAAAACCTGAGGCAGGCAGCTTCCCCTTGGCCGGAGGGCCCTTGGCCTTGCCTTTGCCTGCAACGAGTCAACGGGATTTTAGTGACCTAGGAGGGTTTAGGGTTTAGGGTCTTTTGGGGTTCTAGGGTTTGGGGTCTTTTGGGGTTCTAGGGTTTAGGGGTTTAGGGGGTTTAGGGGTTTAGGGGTTTGGGGTTTAGGGTTTAGGGGTTTAGGGTTTAGGGGTTTAGGGTTTAGAGTTTGTGGGGTTTTAGGGGTTAGTGATCTAGGAGTGTGCACGGTTTAGCCGCCCAGGGCCTGCCGTTTACACGATTCGACAGGTTCAGAAACTTAGACCGCGTTTGGGCAAATTGGTTGTGGCATTTCGCCTTGTGTAGGAGCCTAACTAAGAAACCCTGGCCCTGTAATCCCAAAATATGTGGATTCATACAAGGAACCCTAATAATAACGACCCAGGGCTTCTGAATCAGGATCGATAATATCAAAACCAATACTCAAAGCTTGCAGCTTTTCAGGTGGCGCCTGGATTCCTTTGACCCCACCCCCGATGGCAGGCTCTAAGTCATGGCCGCGCAGAGTTTAGGCCCGCGGCTTGGAGTTTCCCAAGGACTTTGGGCATAATTATACTGGGAGCCCTAAACCTAAACCCCTAAACCCCTAAGCCCCCTTATAAACCCTCAACCCTAAACCCTAGACCCTAAACCCTAAACCCTAAACCCTGAACCCTAAACCCTAAACCCTAAACCCTAAACCCTAAACCTTCATGATATCAGCAGATGAGCCTGCAGCTGGTGGGGCGGAGGCCCCAGCCTCAGGGCTGGCCTCAGCTGAAGCCTCGGGCGTGGAAGCCTCGGCAAAGTGGCGTTGAAGACGTCGGGTTTTGGGGCTCCGGGTTTAGGGTTTAGGGTTTAGGGATGGCTTAGGGTTTAGGGTTTAGGGATGGCTTAAGGTTTAGGGTTTAGAGATGGCTTAGGGTTCAGGGTTTAGGGATAGCTCAGGGTCGGCTTAGAGTTTTGGGTTCAGGGACGGTTCAGAATGTAGAGTTTAGGGTTTAGGTTTAGGGTTTCAGACTTCCTAGGCCCCACCTCCAAATGAACCCCAGTAGCCGGGTCACTACGATCAGGGTTACGCAGGGTTTATGGAACAGAAACCCTTAACCCTGAACCCTAGACCGTAGACCCTAAATCCCTAACCCCTCAACCCAAACCCTAAACCCAAAACACTAAACCCCAGACCCCACCCCTAACTCGGCATTCAGCATAAAGGTGGAAAGCTGCAAGGCTTCATGTGACTCTCCTACCCGAAACCCCTACTCCCTTCGTTTCCCTGAGGCCGCAACCTCAAATGCCCGAAACCCGCGGTTCAGGGTTTAGGGTTCACAGCCCAAGGCTTTAGGGCCTATGATTAGGGTTTAGGGTTTAGGGTTTAGGGTTTAGGGTTTAGGGTTTAGGGTTTAGGGTTTAGGGTTTAGGCATAAGGCCTCATGTTGAAAGAAGAATCTGAAACCTCTCTTCAACCCCTTGCAAAACTCTATAGGGACCTTGTTAAAGCCCAACCCAGAAAACCTCTCAAAGGTCTCGGGACGTCTGAGGCAGAAGGCACACACTCGGAGTTCTACAAAAAAACAGCCACTGACCTTCCAACGGTCATGCGGATGCAGAACATACCCCAACCCTAAGTCTTGCGAATCTAGTCCCGTATGCCGACACCATTTATGCCTCAACCGTTAGCACCGGCAGGCTCTGAACTGTGCAGCATCTAGGGTTGAGGGTTTTGGTGTTTAGGGTGTAGGGGTTACGGTCAGGGTTTTGGCGGAACAGCGCTCACATGTAATTGAAGGGTTAAGCTTAAAGGCCGGGGTCTACAAGGCCATAAACTCAAACTCGAAATGCCCAAAAAACCAAGAACGGCTGTAGAAATCAAGGGTTCTTATACTGAACCACCTTACTCACAGCTCTCAAATGCAAAAACACCCTAATCTCTCCGACCCCATACCGTGCGCATCCGCGCACAACCACCCTCAAGCCCCAAGCCCGAAACTCAATATTGAAACCCCTGCAAACCTACCTCTTCCTTCATACGAAAGCCCCCAAAGAGCTCCTCCGCCGCCAAAACCCGCATGAAGTCATGGAACCCTCCCAAAAGATACAACTCAAAACTCCCCCGCACAGCACTCTAAACAGGAACCCTAAACCCTACACCCTCAAGCATAAAGCCTGCACCCTGAAACGTAAACCCTAAACCCTAAACCCTCAACCCTAAACCCTACACCCTCAACCCTAAACCCTACACCCTCAACCCTAAAGCCTACAACCTAAACCCTAAACCTTCTACCCTAAAGCCTACACCCTAAACCCTAAACCCCAAACCCTACCGGCCTCCTCCACTGGGGGGACCTCCGGAGCTGCCTCTGCAGCGGGTGGCGCGCCGGGCCCCTTCCTCGGAGAGTTACTTTCGGGGTACCTTTCAGGTTTAGGGTTTAGGGTTTAGGGCTTAGGGTTCAGGGTTTAGGGTTCAGGGTTTAGGGCTTAGGGTTCAGGGTTTAGGGTTCAGGTAATAAGGTTTAGGGTTTGAGGTTCCTGTCAGGTTTCCTTCTCGTGGCTTCCGTAAAGAAGCTCCTTTACAACCCTTTGCCGCCCTGAACCTGGCCTGGGGCTTTTAGGGTTAAGGGGTTCTGGGGTTTTGGGGTTTTGGGGTTGTGGGAGTTTTGGGATTTAGGGGTTTAGGGGTTTAGGGGTTTAGGGGTTTGGGGGTTTTGGGGTTTAGGGGTTTTGGGGTTTAGGGGTTTAGCGGAAAAGGGGTTTACGGGTTTTGGGGCTTAGGGGCTGATGTAAAGGTAGTAGGGCTTAGGGTTTGGGGTTCCTTTCAGGTTTCCTTCTCGTGGCTTCCGTGTAAAGAAGCTCCTTTACGGTTTCCTCTGAACCCTTTGCCGCCCTGAACCTGGCC